AAGCTCCCTCCATCTTTGCCGGTATCTGGCCATTTTGTTGGCAGTCTCCCAGTGTTTCTTCCAGACTTTTTTTTCTCCGGGGGGGGGGGGGGGGCACTTGAAATTTTCGGGGGGAGGGCGGTAGACTTTCTTCGGGGGGGCGGACACTGTTAAAAGTATATATTTTCTATTATAAATTATATAAATTTCATTTCGTTCGGGGGCGGGGGGACGGGGGGGGGGGGACGGCGGGGGGGGGGGGACGGTAAAAAAAAATTCGGGGAGGGGGGGTTTTCTCCCCCCCCCCCCCACCCCGAAGAGATGCCTGGAAGAAACTCTGAGTCTCACAAGATATTCCTGCCTTTGTTAGCTGCTTCCACGCTAGGCGCCACCACGGTCTTCGCCTAACTTGTTTTGTTTCCCCTGATAAGTCCATTTAAACACCTGTCCTGTAATAGCATCTGAATTCATTCATGCGGGATGCATCGTCTTGTTTTATTGATTTATTTAGGAAACGGCACGGCATATCAATGGATAATGTAGCCGGCACTTATGCCCGGTGCCATGGACTGAAGACTGGTTAGACCCAGAGGCGTAGCGACCCTTCCCGGCGCCCGGGGACAAACTTTCAATTTGGCGCCCCCCTCGAGAGCAAACTTTCGATTTGCACCCCCCCCCCCCCCCCCTCAAACTTTCGATTTCACCTCCCCTCAAACTATTTATAATGCAAATATGAAGCTAAAATGACATTTTAATTTGTCTTTACAACCCATTTTGGCGCCCCCTAAGGTCGGCGCCCGGAGACATATGAACCCCCCCTGCCCCCCCCCCCCCCCATCGCTACGCCTCTGGCTAGACCTATTATCTATATGCTGATAAGCCTATCCCAGACTATCAGGCTAGTAGTAATCGCACTTGAAGGGCATAATTTGTATGGGGTTAGTCATCAAACATGATGCCTTATTTGTTTGAAAATATGTAGGATATTAGAATATACCTATGTATTATCTTATTCAATATATCTGTTTTTAACTATCGATTGATATATTACAATTTGTTTCACTTTATAATAAGGTACACATTAAAAATGCGCTAGACAGTATTGATTAAATATTAAGATTATCGCAATTTTTTCATCACGTTCATGGCTGTAATAGCAAGTGTTAAGAAAATGGTCAGTGTATTGTTGCAGATTTATCAAAATAACACATGTTTATACCGCTGTTCTATACTTTTAAAATTTAAATGCTAGTTTGTTTTTTTTTTTTGCTAGTGTTTGTTTTATTAAACAATTGTTACACAGTTCCGTTGTACCCTCTCTCGTTTTTAAATATACTCAGAGTGAACACGTTGCTACGTAACTGACCTATAAATACATTGTACGCCCTGATAACACTACCGATGTTCAATCGCTCATGATTATAATTTCGAATATTTCTGTTCCATTTAATAACAGCACAATCGCTTTGCAGCTTTAAAAAAATACACATTTACAAAATAATAATACTTTAAATTATTATTTAACAAGGTGCATTTATCTGATATTTATTTCCAGGTATACGCCCTTGATTTTCCCTGCCCTAGGCTACTGTGATTGGAATGGGGAAAATCCGGTTTCTCCTAGCTATTACTCACCAGTCAGACACGTGTTAACTTTGCTGTTGGGTCATTGCCGTGTAACGTACGCAACTGTAGCATCAACATCAATGTTGTGTTTTGTCGAACATAAACTCAACAGTACAATTTGTGTTGACTGTTTAAATGATGTTTCCCTAATGTTTAAAAATGTTTAACTAATGTTTACCTAATGTTTTAAAGATGTTTAACTAATGTTAACCTAATGTTTTAAAAATGTTTAAAGTTTACCTAATGTTTTAAAAATGTTTACTTTATGTTTAAATAAAGTTTATTTAACATGGTGTCAGCTTTGTTGTAGGTTGAATGATTTTGACGTCATGTCAGCTTTGTGATTTGAAGAGTGGAAACCAGTTTCCTTGTTTAGGATATTTCCGACCAAACAAAAATTACACAATGCTAGGTAAATGTGGGAAACACAAAACAATGCCGAACCTAGACATTTTATTTTCATTATACAGCTTGATTAACGATCTAAATCGCTGCAATAGATCGTACGCAGGGTACTAATCCCGTCTTGTAGATTTGTGTGGTATATCAGATGTTGAAATGTCTCCTAAAGATCTAATCAATCAACTTTTTTAAAAAAGTGACAATTATCAGTTTAATGCAACGTTAAAACGGACACACCTTGACGTGACCTGAGTTTTCCTAAGAATACAGGTAGATCAGGATCAAGGACAGAAACATGTGGGTCAGCCTATGTTTGTGTGTGTGTGTGTATGTGTGTCTGTGTGGAGGGATGGGTGGGTCGGGGTTTTCAAGGTATTCTTTGCATAGAGGAGTGTTTTCAACGTGTAAAACAGCTTGAACTTAGCCTGCAGGTATTTTACTGTTAAAAAATGAAGTTAGTTGTACTTGAAAAAAAATATATAAATGTTTACAGTCGGTCGGTCAGTCGGTCGGTGGGTACGGTCGGTCGGTCGTCGGTCGGTCGGTCGGTACGGTCAGTCGGTCGGTGGGTACGGTCGGTCGGTCAGTCGGTCGGTGGGTACGGTCGGTCGGTCAGTCGGTCGGTGGGTACGGTCGGTCGGTCGTCGGTCGGTCGGTCGTCGGTCGGTCGGTGGGTCGGTGGGTCGTCGATCGGTGGGTACGGTCGGTCGGTCGTCGGTCGGTGGGTCGGTCGGTCGGTCGGTCGGTGGGTACGGTCGGTCGGTCAGTCGGTCGGTGGGTACGGTCGGTCGGTCAGTCGGTCGGTGGGTACGGTCGGTCGGTCGTCGGTCGGTTGGTCGGTCAGTCGGTCGGTGGGTACGGTCGGTCGGTCAGTCGGTCGGTGGGTACGGTCGGTCGGTGGGTACGGTCGGTCGGTCGTCGGTCGGTCGATCGTCGGTCGGTGGGTACGGTCAGTCGGTCGTCGGTCGGTGGGTACGGTCGGTCGGTCAGTCGGTCGGTGGGTACGGTCGGTCGGTCGTCGGTCGGTCGGTCGGTCGGTCGGTCAGTCGGTCGGTGGGTACGGTCAGTCGGTCAGTCGGTCGGTGGGTACGGTCGGTCGGTCGTCGGTCGTTCGGTCGTCGGTCGTCGGTCGGTCGGTCGGTCAGTCGGTCGGTGGGTACGGTCAGTCGGTCAGTCGGTCGGTGGGTACGGTCGGTCGGTCGTCGGTCGTTCGGTCGTCGGTCGGTCGGTCGGTCGGTCGGTCAGTCGGTCGGTGGGTACGGTCAGTCGGTCAGTCGGTCGGTGGGTACGGTCGGTCGGTCGTCGGTCGTTCGGTCGTCGGTCGTCGGTCGGTCGGTCGTCGGTCGGTCGGTGGGTACGGTCAGTCGGTCGTCGGTTGGTCGGTCGGTGTGTCGGTCGGTCGGTCGGTCGGCATATTGTAATAGTAGATTTATTTCAAATACCCAGCAAAAAATTTTGAGCAAGCTCAATTCTGTTTTTTAGCAACACAAATCTACATAATTAATCAATGATTGCTAGTCGACTTTTATCAATGAAATAGAGGGCTGATATCACAGAACCAACGCTGACCCGTTTTATCTCATCATAACGATAAGATAATCTCATCATAACGATAAGATAATCTCATCATAACGATAAGATTACGCGCTTGTCACAGTGAATTCAATGTTATCCTTCGACATGTAAACAGATGTGTGATTCTGACACATACTTTAAATCGAAACTTTTTACTTTGGACAAACACAATGTGTAATGGGCACGTGAAGATAATGAAATAACGTTTTAACTTGTGACTTCTATTTTTAGATACAAAAAAATCCTCTAATCTAGAGCTTTGATTGGTCAGAAATCGTTACTTAGCCTATGCTCTCCACCTTTATGAGACCAATTGCTCGAGAAATAAACAAACTAGACAGCAGATACTCTCGGGTAAGCGCTTTCTTCTATTTGTTAATCTAATAGCAAACGATTACCCCCCCCCCCTCCTAAAATATAAGCAAGCATTTGATCTAGAATATTCTTTTATTTTCTTCTGTAGTGCTAACATCCACTTATTGTCACCAATACACGAGTTTAGTTATGTTCTAACACCCACACTAAAACCAAACCAAACTATGTTAGCTATTCATGACAGGACCAACACAGTAACAAAACTATATAGTGTTAGCTATCCACGATAAGATCATTACAGCAACACAACTATATTGTGTTAGTTATTCATGATAAGATCTTACATTAACACAACTATATTGTGTTGGCTATTCCTTATAACATCAATACAGTAACACAACTATATTGTGTTAGCTATTCATGACTAGATCAATACAGTAACAAAACTATATTGTGTTAGCTATTCATGATAAGATAAATACAGTAACACAACTATAATATTTTAGCTATTCATTATGACATCAATACAGTAACACAACTATATTGTGTTATCTATGTTCCGAGATTCACCAGTAACACACCCATACTAAGTATAAGAACCATCAAGTAATACAATTACATTGTGTTAGCTATTCGCTAAGATAAATCCAGTAACACAACTATATTGTGATATCTTTGTGCTAACTCAACAATTATAAGTATAAGTTATGAACAAAAGGTAAAATGTCCTTTTCAAACCTGACTGTCCAAAAGGCAAGTGAAGTAGAGTTCACCTGTTTCTGTGCCCTCGGCGAATGATGGCATAGTGTGGTCAGCATTATGCCCACTCGCCTTTACTTTCCCTAACATGTGTTTGGTACCTATCGGAGTGGACTCAGTGACGATCTACTGACTTGCACCCGGATTCGAACTCGAGACTTCCGTGTTAGCAGTCAATCGCTCTACCGCTAGGCCACGCCGTCCTATGGTTATGTACAATGCACCAGATAATTTTTATACATTAACATGGCATTTTACTATTTATAAACGACCAATTTCTTTAAGTCGAGTCTAATTACCTTCTTGTTTTATTTACACAGAATCCGGATGAAACCCTAACAAACCGACATCGTATCAACATCTGCCAACATGTCTTTCACTGCGTCTGGCATCAACTACACCACATACCTAGCGGCCTCAAAGGGTCTTCACATCGTCTTCATCATTCTAATTTTACTCTCCAACGTAATCCTCCTCTTTAAAGTCTCGAGACAAAACAGATTCCTCTACTCAACCAAGTGTATCATACTCATCTCCCTAGCATTCGGCGATTCCTTTTGTGCGCTGTTTTCTTTGGTTGTGCGAACAAAAGCCATGTTCCAAGAATATCCGATAGGACCGTCTTGCAGTTTATCTTTATCAGCTTCAGTATACGAGTACCACCTTCTCAATTTTGTCTACGGCGCTGGGCTAATAACTCTATGTGCCGAGTACGTTCATCGACGGAAAACAACTACTCCAGGAACGGCAACTCAGAAAGATTTTCTACGTGCTGTTTTAATCAGTAGCGTCCCTTGGTTTTTAGGGTTAATCATTGTGTTACCGCTAACAATGGCTGGTGTGGATCTAGGCCTGTGTCAATTGAACTACACGCTAGACAGGTTAAGGGCGCAGACTATCGTCTCTACAATTTTACCTGCAGTTATCGCTGTGTGTATATCTTCAGTTTTGGCCTACGGAAATTGTCAACCCGGACACACACAGACAACTGAGCTGAACACAGCACAGAGACCGGCGTCCGGCTACATTGAGACAGCACCTCCAACATATGACCATCAGGCGCCGCCTTACGCTCAATCAACCCATGCGCATTATCCTGTACAGAATCAACACCCACCAGTGTACCATCAACCGAGCTATCAACAACAACCGCAGCAGATAAGCTACCAGCCTCAACAGATGTCTAACTACTCATACGAACCCAGCAATGTATTCATCCCTCAAAAATTTAACGGCTCCTTTGCCAACAACGGCTCCCCATACTACACCGGCTCCCCACAATTCGCCGGATCCCCTCACAACACCGGCTTACCCGCCACCACACACACAGCCGCCACCACCTCCTTCAACGAGAGATACAAGATTCTCACCCTGGCATTGACCTTCTTCTTCCTCGTCATGCCGCAAGCGGTGTTCTACTTGGCCTACACCATCAGCCATTTTGCTGTCGTACCTGACGTCACCCACACGGCTTTAACAGACGGCTTCATGTACCTGATGCTGCTCAGGCCTGTAATCACGCCCATCATTACGTCACAATCATCCTACTTACAATATTGTTAAAAAGGCGCCATCAGTAGGAAATCATTACATCACAATCATCCTACCTACTACATTGTTAAAATGACGTCATCACCTCACCGAGCAATCATTACCTCACATTCAACCTGCATACAACGTAATTAAATTCACGTCATTAGTAGGAAATCATTACGTTACAATCAACCTACCTGCAACATAAAACTACGGTCAAAACCACAGAAAAGGACCTTAGAAAACGATGAATAGGGTAGCTGTGAGTACATAACACGCTTGTCTAAAATGAACTGACCAAAACAATGTTTGTTATAGAAGTAATGCTGCAGCCCTTTGATCCTCCGGCGGCTAAACAGGATTTATTCAAGCCACGTCTGGCTTAATCAGACAAACATTGTGTCAAAATTAGACTCTTGACATCAAACTTGACAACGTGCAGCTAAAGTTTTACAACATGTTAACCATTTCGCAAATGTTCGACCCGGATACAAAGACGTCACATTCCCATCTACTATATGATATTTTTCTTTTCTCGTACGCATAATTTACGTACACCAGTAACATGATGTCACATCCAGATGACTTATAACAGACCTCACATACAAACCTCACAAACAGACCGTACATACAAACCTCACAAACAGACCTACATACAAACCTTACATAAAACCTCACATACATACATCATAAACAATAAATACATGTTACAATGAATTAATGTACAACAGTATTATTTTCTTTAGAATATTAATGTGCATAAATGTATTGCATTTTTCTTTATTAAACGTCAGTATCCATGCTCATCATCACTATAATCTTTACTTTGTACATACAAAAAAAATTGAAACTTTGTATTTCTTGGTCACGTTATTTACACACACACACACACACACACATATATATATATATATATATATATATATATATATATATATATATATATATATATACAACGGACTTAGCAAAATGTAGTATAGTTGTTAAATTTCATTGAACTATTTTTTATAAACAAACTACTGGCTTTTCCAACGTTATCTGATACATTTGTCTTTTCTATGCTGGCATCTCGATAATCACAGTTTTAATTATTCTCACTTTCTAAAACAACAACAATATTCAATTTAGGCTGTCAAAAGATATTTTATTGCAATTAGAATGATTGCCCTTTAGATGTACAATTAAAGATTTATAATCTAGTATGCTATGAGTAATATTGTAATACATACGCTCATATATATATATATATATATATATATATATATATATATATATATATATAGTATTTATGTGGAAATTAACTTTTTTATCCCCTTAATGCCTGAATTATGTTCCAAGCGTGTAAAAAAATATTTGTTCTGATTTTCTCTCATCATAGTAACACTGAATTTGAGGTATATAGTTGTTTTAGAATTTTGACTTATTTTTGATGATAATTACGGTATGTCGAAAAACGCGACATCAGGCACTTATGGACCAAACAGTAATTTAATTTTTTTTTAGTCCGGATCATTTTACTATTTTTACTGTCACATGTTTCTCTAAATATCCATGCACAAACAATAAAATATCACAAAATGAACATACTGACATGCAAGAAGATGTAGAATCACTTGCAAAACTCATGAAAACTATACTTTATTAGCTCAGGCATAGAGTTACATAACTCTGCTGCACCTGCTCACTGACTAACTCTTATGAATGGGTATTTTGAAGCCTTGCTGTCGTGGTTCTACTACACAACAGTAACAAACTACATATGAAATGACTTCCTTCAATTTGTAGAGCCTTATTTGTCCCCGGTTACGTAATTTTTGTTAACTCTTATTCAAGGTCAACTAATAAAGACGCATATTTCTCATTTGACCTATATTTGCTATACACACAAAGCACATGAAGAAATACTGTCCTAAATGACAGTGTTCAGCCATTGTATATTCGTCCATGCTCAATGCAGCTGCTGTGGTTACTTAGTGTCACTGCTGTGGATGCTCAGTGCCACCGGTGTGGGTACTCACTGCTATTGTTGATGGTACCTTATGTTTCTGATTCGTGCTACGGCTATTGTTCTCGACTGATTCTGATATTGATTACCAATGACAGAGCTGTAGCTACATATTGCTACTGGTATGGGTACTCAGTGCTGAAACAGTGGGTACTGAGTATTGAAGCCATGTGTACTGAGTGCTGAAGCTGTGGGTACTCACTGTTGAAGCTGTGGGTACTCACTGTTACTGCAGTCTGTTCTTGGTGTAACTGCTGTGGGTACTCAGCGCTTGAGCTGTTGGTAATCGATAACGTTGATGTGGGTACTCAGCCTTAGCAGTGGGTACTCAGTATCACTGCTGTGAGTGCTTAGTGCTCAAACTGTAGTTGCTCAGTGTCACTGATGTGATGTTGGTACTCAGTGCTGAAGATGTGGGTACTCAATAACACTGCTGTCGGTACTAAATACCAGTATAATGCCACTAATGTGAGTATTCAATAGCACTGCAAAGGGTATTTTTGTCAGCACTCAACCTTACTGTATTTTTCGAGGTGTAGGTCTACGCTCAGTGTTATTATTGTCAAGGTCAATGTGAAGACCTTTCTTTGGTGGTATCCAGGATAGTGGTCCACCACCTCACTTCCTGTTGTCTATTATGTTTTTTATGTTCTCCTAATATTTTACAATACTATTTCAAAGCTAAATACGTTATATTGTACCCAGCAACACGATCACATTATTCCAGCATCGCTCTCTCTCCATATGCCAATGTCAATGAAACAGGTGAACTCTACTTCACCTACCACATGGACCGTAACGTTCTAAAGTGCACTTTTATATATAGCCGAAGACTACATTGTAAATCCTTTACTTATTTATAATCATACTTGAATGAATGACAGCTTGGCGATGTATCGTATTTCGTTATACCTGCTTGACACCCAAGTTCCATTTGATGTCTTATTGCCGGATGTCGCGAAAACGCGACAAACCGTAATTACCAGAAAACTTCCAAAATTATTCTCATATGTGATTTATATTGTTTATATACATAAAAGAATGAATAATAAAGCTATTAGTATTTTTTGTAACAAAAACGGATTACCTATTTAATAATAATAATCAATGTAAGTAGGCTGAATTCACAAAGTCAAAAAAATTGCGATGCGCGTGAGTCAAGAGAGTGTGACGTCATAAATTTCGACTTGACTACGTGACCGCTGGTACCGATACAACCGTCTGGATGTACCCAATACACAACGACCGGCAGCAGTAGGATAAATGTACATATGCGAAAATGCTATGCGCTAAATCGGTATGTCGCGAAAACGCGACTGTCGGCGTTAAGGGGGTTAAACATGGATTATCGACGGAGGCAGGCTTGCCACACTCGTATAGGCTAACGACAAATTTAAAAAAAAACGTAGAGACACTGAAAGATGTAGACTGTGTCTAGACCGGGTCAATGTGTTGTAAATAGACCACTCCCACGGGGAACGATCAACTTGACAGTAAGCAACACCGCAAAAAAGTAGATCCTGTCTTCATGTTAACAGCTCTCTGTCGTGTATGAAACAATACTAGCTAGCTAACGAGTATCCATAAACCATTGTCTATCATAGCCTAACAAGTTTCAAAAACACTAACCTAACATGTTTCAAAAACACTCGTCTAACTTGTACCGTAAAACCCTAGCCTAACATGTTTCAGAAACCTAAACCTAACATGTTTTATAAACCCTAGCCTAACATCTTTCAAAATCCCTAGCCTAGATGTTTCAAAAACACTAGCCGAAGATCTTTCAAAAATCCTTTTCTAACATGTTTCATAAAACCCAAGTCTAAATTCTATCAGAAAGCCTAGACCAATAGGTTTTATAAAACCCTAGCCAACCCATCAGCCAACCCATCAACCTTTCCTCACATCTAACCAGCCAACCCATCAATCTTTCCCCACGTCTAACCAGCCAACCCATCAACCTTTCACCACGTCTAACCAGCCAACCCATCAACCTTTCCCCACGTCTAACCAGCCAACCCATCAACCTTTCTCTACGTCTAACCAGCCAACCCATCAACCTTTCCCCAGCCAACGTACTCACTAGCAGCCACCTTACCAACATGCACTTACCCATCACCTAAAACTAAACTCACCAATCACCACCCACCACACTTGTTGGAGCCGAGCTGACTCGCCTGCTTGCACCCAACCCCCTATCACTCCCATTTCTTTCTAGCACCCAACCCCCTATCACTCACCATTCCTTCTAGCACCCATCACCCTATCACTCCCCTTTCTTTCTAGCACCCAAACCCCTATCATTCACTTTTTCTTCTAGAACCCAACCCCTTATCACTCTCCATTCCTTCTAGCACCCAACCCCCTATCACTCACCTTTATTGTTCTTTATTCTCTAGACAATCATTTGTTTTACCCCCCCCCCCCTGCTAACTCATGCTTGTTGGCAGATTTACGATGGCATTTATTACCTGCACAGGTGTGAGAAATTAGCAGTTACTGCATTTTCAACTTAATTACTCTTTTAATGACTTTCTTGACTAGACTTCTTTACTTCTTGTAGATCATAGGGCCTCAAAAATAACCTTCCATTTTATCCGGTCCCCGGCTATTAATTTTACAAACACCCAAAACATGCCTGCTGTCTTCAGATCTTCAAGATGACTCCGCCTCCAGGTCTGTCTTTGGCGCCCTCTATTCCGTTTTCCCTGGGCGTTTCACTCCAGCGCCTGTATATTACACTAGTCACTAAATACTAGGCATGCTAATTGAGATAGACAACAATTCAGAGGCATAGCGACCCTTCCCGGCGCTCGGGGACAAACTTTCGATTTGCACCCCCCTCCCTTCGAGATTTCGATTTGCACCCCCCCCCACTCAAACTTTCGATTTGCATCCCCCCCCTCAACATTTCAATGTATTTTACCAACACATTTTGGCGCCCTCTAAGGTCGGCGCCCGGGGACATATGTCCCCCCCCCCCCGCCCCTCCTCGCTACGCTACTGCATCAATTAGTTTTAATAAGATGAACGCCTAACTGGATGGAAGGTTTAATAATGTAAAGTAATGTAAACTCCTGATCTGGGTACTTTCCAGTCCTCTCATATTGTGTAAAAATATATTTTGGTTTACTTTCGGTTGGATCAATTTTGCAGTGATAATAAACTGTCCTAGTTCACCCTGATTCAAAACAGTAGAACATCTTTGATTCCACTCAACTCTATCGTAACTAACTCAATAAAACTACATTTCCTTGTATAATAAAAGCTAGTGTCGCCAAAATAAACTCTAACATATTTTAACTAACAACACTACAATTAAATAAAACAAGTTAATAAAAAGTCTATTGACAATTTAAGCGCAATTTTCTTATGTTATCCATAACAATTTTTAATTTTTAATTTTTTTGTAAATATCATCCTATAAATATAAACTCCTACACGATGCTCAGTTTAAATCATCATAGGCCTACAAGATGCTCAGTTTAAATGTTCTTAATTAATTTTTTGTGACCAAACGAAAGGATATTTTTGAAAACTTTCTTCGGCAATATTGGTCTAAATTATGGCAGGAATCGATTGGTAAATGTTTCAAGTCGCTAAGTGGTCTGGTTGCCGAGATATGGAGAAAAAACTGCATTTTTTCGAGGTTTTTTGGCTTTTCCGGGAAATCCAGGAAGGAATTCCGGGAATTATTTTTGGCCCACAATCATCCTTGGAACTTGCTTAACATATTTGCTTTGGAACTAGTCCTCGATATTGCTTCGTTGAGGAGGAGATACGACTTAAAGGCTGCGGACACACATCCATACATCCAGAAATGACGAGTTATTAAACGCAATTTTTGCCAGTATGGAAATTGCGCTAAAAAAGTTTATATTTAGTACATTTAAAAGCTGTTTGTTATCAAGTTGTTTATGTCAGTTTTATGCAGTGATACTCTGCCAGAAACTAACAGCCGTAGGTAACTCGCAATAAGCACAGAGGAGATCCAGGAGAATTTTGCTTTTAAGGTCTAAGTCCAGATGAAAGTGAACACAACTTAAAGCACATTGGTACGTAACGCAAACGTACGTGTGTCTAGAGGCGTAGCGACCCTTCCCGGCGCCCGGGGAAAAACTTTCAATGTGGCGCCCCCTCGGGAGCAAATTTTTAATTTGCACCCCCCCCCCCACCTCTCAAACTTTTGATTTGCACCCCCCCTCAAACTGCAAAAATACATCGAAAATGACATTTTAATTTGTTTTTACAATCCATTTTGGCGCCCCCTATAGTCGGCGCCCGGGGACATATGTACTCCCCTGCCCCCCCCCCCCCCCTATCGCTAAGCCTCTGCGTGCGTAAACTGGTTAAGTTAAATGATGCATAAAAAAACATCCAGCGGCTATAACTGGCTATGTTGGCTGTTAGTTGAGTGGGGGATCAGCCACACCTTGTATGTGCATCATTTAGTCGCCAGAGGGGAGGTTGTTACCATTCATTCACGGCTGTTCTTTTATTTAACCCTTTCTTATCTGCTTATAGCAGCAACTGATCAATGTTTTCATTTGAACCAAACGTCTTACTTTTCATAACAGGCTAGTTGTAAATGAAAGAATTATTTAAAAGTGTCGCTGAATACACTGATTACATTTTCATTAGAAATTTTGCATGAAAATTATTGCTTGTTACGTTACGTTTTGTTTTGTTAATTCTAACGTTCTTTGTATTTATGTTAACTTTCACTCTGTGTGTTGTGTCTGTATGCATCGTGTTAATGCTGGGCTAGTCAGTTCTGACATTTTTTCATACAAAACACCTTGAGCTGTTGCGTTGATAAACCCCAACAACGAAAATCCAAGAAATGTAATGACGACACTGTTTACATTTAAGTAACTCGGGTGCCAATCAAACACATAATATAATGGATTTGGTTTCTAGGAATAACTGACATGCAATCTTAAGCTCAGCGATGATATATTAACGGTAATTTATACGAATTAAGGTTTTAAAACCGGTCGTAGAAAAATTACTAAATATTGTTGGACACGCATATTAAATTAAAACCACACTTTGAAATGTTTTGTTTACTATTATAAAATGAATAGTACGTTAGTTTTTAACATCGATCACATCAAAACACAAATTGTAACTGAGTCTACTTAGAATGTGCTCGCTGGTAGATCATGAGCTGGCAGTGATCATTAAATATAATCACATCTTTGTAGTCTAATTTGTACATAATAAAGCCATAGATTCAGCAATTGTCACATAAGGCCAAGAATTAGGTTTTTGTAGTTGTGTGATATACATATATGCATGGATTCAATGTGTATTTCTACTTGCGACTGCATAAACGTAGTGATTAAGGCCCTTTGCTCCATAAAGAGTTAATAAAGAGAACTTCTGAGTTGTTTAATTCAAGAGACCTTTGTAACGTTTATTTTATCAACTCGAATAGAGAAAATTGTACTATTTCTCAGCACAAACAAAAATTAACATTAAAAAATCATCATTAAAAACAACACAATTAAACCAATTAAAACATGAGATTTATTTTTAAATGAGCCGTGAGATGTGGAAACATATACCAATATACAAGGAGGGCAGGGGCTTTGCGAGGCGGGGGCGGTGGGTGCGGATCGCACCGGGTGACATCATTGGGGGGGGGGGAGGGGGGACGACATCCAAGTAAAAAATCGTAACATAAAAAGAATAAATATGTTTTTTTGCCAGTTCAATGAATAGTTAATTAGAGCTAAAAAATATTTTAAGTACATAATGACGATTACGAGAAGGAAGGTGGGAGGGGGGGGGGGGGGTTGACACCCGACATAGCGACGACACTGAAGGTGGGTAGCTGTCAGTCGGGCAATCTAAATCTGATTTAGATTATTGGACTGTGACGCACCCTACGCCTGTGTCAGGTAACCTGACTGACGCCAGCTAACACTTCGTCAGGTAACCTGACTGTGACGCACTCTACGCCTGTGTCAGGTAACCTGACTGACGCCAGCTAACACTTCGTCAGGTAACCTGACTGTGACGCACTCTACGCCTGTGTCAGGTAACCCGACTGTGACGCACTCTACGCCTGTGTCAGGTAACCCGACTGTGACGCACTCTACGCCTGTGTCAGGTAACCCGACTGTGACGCACTCTACGCCTGTGTCAGGTAACCCGACTGTGACGCACTCTACGCCTGTGTCAGGTAACCCGACTGTGACGCACTCTACGCCTGTGTCAGGTAACCCGACTGTGACGCACTCTACGCCTGTGTCAGGTAACCCGACTGTGCAGAAACCAATGCGGTGACGACGGGTCTAAACAACGTCAACCAATTAAAGCCGGCCGTAAATATCAGGCCAACCATAGTTAAACTCTCTGGGACATTGCTTATAAGGATCAGCACACAAATCATCTGAGGCGTGACGAGGAAAAAGAAGATAAAGGCCAGAGATAAAATTTTCTTTTGTTCAGGGTAGATGGCGTTGATGGGAGGGATAATGGGGTAACTGTCATTTGTCACAATGATGACATTGTTGATACTGGAACCTGTGTTGACGTTCCCTGGATTAGGGTAGTAACCCATTGGTGGATTATGTGGTTGGTTCTGTGGTGGATAATATGATGGATTATGTGGTGGATTCAGATTATTTGCAGGAACGTTTATTGCATCTGGTTGTCTATGTTGCGCTGCAATATCATCAGTACCTTGACCACTGGCTAAAGTTTGGTCACCTGACGTTTGGTTCTGTGGTGGATAATATGATGGATTATATGGTGGATTCAGATTATATGCAGGCACGTTTATTGCATCTGGTTGTTTATGTTGCGCTGCAATATCATCAGTACATTGACCACTGGCTAAAGTTTGGTCACCTGACGTCATCTCTAAGTGCTGGACATAACCACGGTCCATCTTGAAGCAGACGACAACAACAGCTGCTATCACTGCCAGACAAGCCGGAAGTATGGTAGACACAACAATCTGTGCTCGTGTTATCTCAAGTCCGGCGTACACGTTACACGTTTCCAAATCTACGCCCGCCAGTCCTAGGGGTAGCATAACAATCAAACCCAGTAACCAAGGCACGATACAAATTACAAAACTGCGAACCAAATCAAAATGAGTTGTTGTTCTTGGCCTGTTACACCTTCGTCGGTAAACAAATTCAGCTGCTAGTACAATTAGACCAACTCCGTAGACAAAATTTATGAAGTGATTTGAGTACATATCAGAGTAAAAATTTAACCGGCAAGTCTCCAGACCTGACTCAGTTTTTCTAAACAAGGACTGTACCCGTACGACCAGGGCGAACAGCGCCAGGAGAATGTCCCCAACAGCTAGGGATACCAACAGCAGGTATTTCGGGCTGTACTGATACTGTTTTTGTCGCATGATTTTGACGATCAGATAAACGCTCGAGGCGGTAATTGATATAATCAAAATAATCAAAATTGCTTTTCGTGCATCTGGGAAATAACCTGTCCAAAAAGTTAATGTGGAAAACATTGTTCATGTGAAGCGCCGTTATTTTAAAGATGTATATACCAGATTTATTTCTGCCTGTATAAAGACCTACAGAATAAAAGAAATGATAACAATTATTTGATGTAAGCTGAAATATAATTCTACAGTCTCGTGTTGGCAAATGTATTTCACACACGTCATACATAGTTGAACATCCGCTGAAAGAAGTTGTGTGGGGGAAAGAAACACAATGTGTTGCCGATGTAGAACAAAAACATCAAAAATATTTTGTATCGAGTGAAACATCAGGGCACGTTATTTACGAAAGAAACAGCAATATTATCTAGGACAAATACTATGTATACACATGTATTAGACAATATTGTCACAATATCAACATTTTATCATTTATCAATGGGGGTTGTTACGAAGAGTTGAATTTAAAAGCGCAAAAATAAAATGGTAATGTTTCATCTTAAACGATAAACATGTATTCGTGTTTGTACCGGTAGTTAATCAACAACTAAGGTAATCTTGATCATACATCGAAATATGTTCATGTTTAGCTGTAATGGGATCCATGAAATGAAAGAATCTTGATCATAATTCCAACTTTGTTCACGTTTACTTATAATAGACTCCAAGAATTGAAAGAATCTTGATCATGAACACCGCTATGTTCTTGTTTAAGTATATCATAGGTAAGGTAGTAGGTATTTTATTAGTTTGTAATAATGCTAAAGATAAACGAAGTGTCTACTCGGAATAAGATTTTTCGGCAAAAGATAGTTCTGCGCATGCGCAGTGACCTATGGCTAGGGTTAGGGCTAGAATGAGGGTTAGGGGTAGGATTAGGGAAAGGGTTAGGGATAGGATTAGGGCTAGGGTTAGGGATAGGATTAGGGCTAGGGTTAGGGTTAGGGTTAGGGATATGATTAGGGATAGGGTTAAGGATAGGATTAGGGTTGGTATTAGGGTTCTGCGGTTGTAAACACACGCATGCGCAGTACCATCGAAAACATCGCCGCTAAGTCGTAGTTTCTCTCCATTGCGCATGCGTATCGCATGCGTATCTTATTCCGACTAGAATCGGCCAAAGATAAATCTAGGACCTCAACAAAAAATCAATTAGAGATATCACTTTTTGTAAGTAATCTTCACATTTGTGAATAACACACACACACACACAAAATAATTGGCCTCCACTTTTTAACTCTAGGCTACACACATCGTTTTGTATTTTAGTTTTTGAAACATCAACTTAAATCAAAACAAGTAAAAAAAAAAGACAACATTAAACTGTGAGGCCTAGCATACAAGCATGTCAGTTTTTACCTGTGCAGTGAAGTCTCCACCAAATAGCTTCTAAGTTCATGTTTGTGCAGTTTTATAGCCATTGTACCAGTTTTCAGCGGCGGCGGTAGGGATACTCTAGGTGTGATGCTTTAAACTTTCCTTGCTATGTGTTGCATAAGTTTGGTTTGTTTACATTCTGACAGATGTAGTTAAAGAATAGAAAGCCACAACCACACAATGTCCAAACAAATGGAGAAGTTAAAGAGAGCACTTTACTTAGTCAACTGGTGTGTAACTAGCAACAGCGTTTCTTCCAGACTTTTTTCTCCAGGGGGGGGGGGGGGGGGGGGGCACTTGAAATTATCGGTGGGGGGGGGGCGTTAGACTTTATTCGGGGGGGGGGGGGGCGGACACTGTTAAAAGTATATATTTTCTATACAAATTATATAAATTTCATTTCTTTTGGGGGGTGGTAAAAAAGAGATGTCTGGAAGAAACTCTGACTAGCACGTCATTAAACTTCAAGTAGTGATGACACAACAGAAAAATCGATGTACAAATGTTGTATGAATAATGTTTTTTTTAGAAAAACCGAGACGATCGCAGTATCAAACTTTAAGCTACTGGTGATGCTTTTATCTAATTACAAATACCACCAGAGATTGGTCAACTCAATGTTCTTTGATTAAAATTTAAAAAACAAAACAAAAAACAGAAGCAACAGAACCTTTTCCCTTTGCGCCCAAGAGACACGGGGCCGCCACTGCAAGCTCCCTCCATCTTTGCCGGTATCTGACAATTTTGTTGGCAGCCCCCCAGTGTTTCTTCCAGACTTTTTTCTCCGGGGGGGGGGGGGGGCACTTGAAATTTTCGGGGGGAGGGCGGTAGACTTTCTTCGGAGGGCGGACACTGTTAAAAGTATATATTTTCTATATAAATTATATAAATTTCATTTCGTTCGGGGGGGGGGGGGGCGATAAAAAATTTTCGGGGGGGGGGGCTTATACCCCCCCCCCCGAAGAGATGCCTGGAAGAAACTCTGAGTCCCACAAGATATTCCTGCCTTTGTTAGCTGATTCCACGTCATGCGCCACCACGTCTTCGCCTAACCTGTTTTGTTTCCCTTGAGGCGTCCATTTAAACACCTGTCCTGCGATAGCATCTGAATTCCTTCATGCGGGATGCAGTCGTCTTGTTTTATTGATTTATTTCTGGCACGGCACGGCATATCAATGGATAATGTAGCAGGCACTTCTCCCAGGTGCCATGGACTGAAGAGCTGGCTAGACCTATTATCTGTATGCTGATAAGCCTATCGCAGACGATCAGGCTAGTAGTATCGCACTTGAAGTGCATAATTTGTATGGGGTTAGTCATCAAACATGATGCCTTATTTGTTTGAAAATATGTAGGATATTAGAATATACCTATGTATTATCTTATTCAATATATCTGTTTTTAACTATCGATTGATATATTACAATTTGTTTCACTTTATAATAAGGTACACATTAAAAATGCGCTAGACAGTATTGATTAAATATTAAGATTATCGCAATTTTTTCATCACGTTCATGCTGCAATAGCAAGTGTTAAGAAAATGGTCAGTGTATTGTTGCAGATTTATCAAAATAACACATGTTTATACCGCTGTTCTATACTTTTAAAATTTAAATGCTAGTTTTTTTTTTTTTTGCTAGTGTTTGTTTTATTAAACAATTGTTACACAGTTCCGTTGTACCCTCTCTCGTTTTTAAATATACTCAGAATAAACACGTTGCTACGTAACTGACCTATAAATACATTGTACGCCCTGATAACACTACCGATGTTCAATCGCTCATGATTATAATTTCGAATATTTCTGTTCCATTTAATAACAGCACAATCGCTTTGCAGCTTTAAAAAAATACACATTTACAAAATAATAATACTTTAAATTATTATTTAACAATGTGCATTTATCTGATATTTATTTCCAGGTATACGCCCTTGATTTTCCCTGCCCTAGGCTACTGTGGTTGAAATGGTAAAAATCCGGTTTCTCCTAGTCATTACTCACCAGTCACACACGTGTTAACTTTGCTGTTGGGTCATTTCCGTGTAACGTACGCAACTGTAGCATCAACATCAATGTTGTGTTTCGTCGAACATAAACTCAACAGTACAATTTGTATTGACTGTTTAAATGATGTTTCCCTAATGTTTAAAAATGTTTAACTTATGTTTACCTAATGTTTTAAAAATGTTTAACTAATGTTTAACTAATGTTTAACTAATGTTTACCTAATGTTTGAAAATGTTTAACTAATGTTTACCAAATGTTTTAAAAATGTTTAACTAATGTTAACCTAATGTTTTAAATATGTTTAACTAAAGTTTACCTAATGTTTTAAAAAATGTTTACTTTATGTTTAAATAAAGTTTATTTAACATGGTGTCAGCTTTGTTGTTAGTTGAATGATTTTGACGTCATGTCAGCTTTGTGATTTGAAGAGTGGAAACCAGTTTCCTTGTTTAGGATATTTCCGACCAAACAAAAATTACACAATGCTAGGTAAATGTGGGAAACACAAAACAATGCCGAACCTAGACATTTTATTTTCATTATACAGCTTGATTAACGATCTAAATCGCTGCAATAGATCGTACGCAGGGTACTAATCCCGTCTTGTAGATTTTTGTGGTATATCAGATGTTGACTTCTCTTACTGTAGTTGCCACATGCTTGAAATGTCTCCTAAAGATCTAATCAATCAACTTTTTTAAAAAAGTGACAATTATCAGTTTAATGCAACGTTATAACGGACACACCTTGACGTGACCTGAGTTTTCCTAAAAATACAGGTAGATCAGGATCAAGGACAGAAACATGTGGGTCAGCCTATGTTTGTGTGTGTGTGTGTGTATGTGTGTGTGTGTGTGGAGGGATGGGTGGGTCGGGGTTTTCAAGGAATTCTTTGCATAGAGGAGTGTTTTTCAACGTGTAAAACAGCTTGAACTTAGCCTGCAGGCATTTTACTGTTAAAAAATGAAGTTAACTGTACATGAAAAAAAAAAAAATAAATGTTTCCAGTCGGTCGGTCAGTCGGTCGGTGGGTCGGTGGGTCGGACAGTTGGTCGGTGGGTACGGTCGGTCGGTCAGTCGGTCGGTGGGTACGGTCGGTCGGTCAGTCGGTCGGTGGGTCGGTCAGTTGGTCGGTGGGTACGGTCGGTCGGTCAGTCGGTCGGTGGGTCGGTCAGTTGGTCGGTGGGTACGGTCGGTCGGTCAGTCGGTCGGTGGGTACGGTCAGTCGGTCAGTCGGTCGGTGGGTACGGTCGGTCGGTCGTCGGTCGGTCGGTCGTCGGTCGGTCGGTCGGTATGTCGTTCGGTCGGTCGGTCGGCATATTGTGATAGTAGATCTATCCTAATATATAATTCCCCATGTGCGCACTTCTCTCTCTCTCTCTCTCTCTCTCTCTCTCTCTCTCTCTCTCTCTCTCTCTCTGTCCTCAAAATATTTTCGCCGGACATCACGTCAGAAACGGCAGCGATATATGGAGAACTTTATACGGACTTTTGTTGAAAATAATATGTTAGATGTTTTAAATGTATAACCACAATTTTATTTAAAGAAGAAAAATAAAAATTAAAGGCGTATTCGAATGTAGAGAAACAGTATTATTTATGCAACCGGAAAAGCATTAATAGATGTGAAAAAGAACGCATAAAACTGCGACGTCACTATTGCTTATACATTAACTAATGACGTCATCTGCCGTGTTAGAATAAAAAGAAATGAACTATTTCATTCAAATTTTATTTAGATCTACGTACACTATGAAATGTATACAATACAATTTTTCCGGCCTAAACTCATAAAATTTATTTTATTTATTTTGATTCTAGATCTAGATATTCTAGATTCATCTATTCAAATAATACATTTCTATACTAAAGTATTTCAGGCCTTAATTACTTTATTGAAATCTTTGTTTATCTATGCAATTTGCTAATCTCTATAATATATAAAGCAAAGTTGTCGGGTGCCCGATAGGGCACTTCCCGGCGCCGCAGGCGCTTCAAATTTGGCAGGATCTTGCCTTGGGGCGACAGAACACGAGGGCCGGTTGGCCGAAAAGTCTACGATGATGGGGTCAAAACTGACCTCGACTGACCGGCGCCTTATATGAGCTATAAATCGAAAAAAAATGTCCACGTAGGAACCTCTACATAACTCCTGAGGTCGTAGACCGACCCTCGGGCGAATTAATTAAGCATTCAAATTCTCAATGTTTTCGAAAGCCTAAGCAAAGCTGGGCAGCATGCTTAGTTTCAAATACCCAGCAAAAAATTTTGAGCAAACCCAATTCTGTTTTTTAGCAACACAAATCTACACAATTAATCTATGATTGCTAGTCGACTGTTATCAGTGAAATAGAGGGCTGATATCACAGAACCAACGCTGACCCGTTTTATCTCATCATAATGATAAGATAATCTCACCATAACGATAAGATAATCTCATCATAACGATAAGATTACGCGCTTGTCACAGTGAATTCAATGTTATCCTTCGACATGTAAACAGATGTGTGATTCTGACACATACTTTAAATCGAAACTTTTTACTTTGGACAAACACAATGTGTAATGGGCACGTGAAGATAATGAAATAACATTTTAACTTGTGACTTCTATTTTTATATACAAAAAATCCTCTAATCTAGAGCTTTGATTGGTCAGAAATCGTTACTTAGCCTATTTTCTCAACCTTTATGAGACCAATTGCTCGAGAAATAAACAAACTAGACAGCAGATACTCACGGGTAAGCGCTTTCTTCTATTTATTAATCTAAAAGCAAACGATTACCCCCCTTCCCCTCCTAAAATATAAGCAAGCATTTGATCTAGAATATTCTTTTATTTTCTTCTGTAGTGCTAACATCCACTTATTGTCACCAATACACGAGTTTAGTTATGTTCTAACACCCACACTAAAACCAAACCAAACTATGTTAGCTATTCATGACAGGACCAACACAGTAACAAAACTATATAGTGTTAGCTATCCACGATAAGATCATTACAGCAACACAACTATATTGTGTTAGCTATTCATGATAAGATCTTACATTAACACAACTATATTGTGTTGGCTATTCCTTATAACATCAATACAGTAACACAACTATATTGTGTTAGCTATTCATGACTAGATCAATACAGTAACAAAAGTATATTGTGTTAGCTATTCATGATAAGATAAATACAGTAACACAACTATAATATTTTAGCTATTCATTATGACATCAATACAGTAACACAACTATATTGTGTTATCTATGTTCCGAGATTCACCAGTAACACACCCATACTAAGTATAAGGACCATCAAGTAATACAACTACATTGTGTTAGCTATTCGCTAAGATAAATCCAGTAACACAACTATATTGTGATAGCTTTGTGCTAACTCAAGAATTAACGCAAGTATATCGTATAAGTTATGAACAAAAGGTAAAATTTCCCTTTCAAACCTGACTGTCCAAAAGGCAGGTGAAGTAGAGTTCGCCTGTTTCTGTGCCCTCGGCAAATGATGGGATAGTGTGGTCAGCATTATGCCCACTCGCCTTTACTTTCCCTAGCATGTGTTTGCTACCTATCGGAGTGGACTTAGTGACGATCTACTGACTTGCAACCGGATTCGAACTCGCGACTTCCGTGTTAGCAGTCAATCGCTCTACTGCTAGGCCACGCCGTCCTATGGTTATGTACAATGCACCAGATAATTCTTATACATCAACATGGCATTTTACTATTTATAAACGACCAATTTCTTTAAGTCGAGTCTAATTACCTTCTTGTTTTATTTACACAGAATCCGGATGAAACCCTAACAAACCGACATCGTATCAACATCTGCCAACATGTCTTTCACTGCGTCTGGCATCAACTACACCACATACCTAGCGGCCTCAAAGGGTCTTCACATCGTCTTCATCATTCTAATTTTACTCTCCAACGTAATCCTCCTCTTTAAAGTCTCGAGACAAAACAGATTCCTCTACTCAACAAAGTGTATCATACTCATCTCCCTAGCATTCGGCGATGCCTTTTGTGCGCTGTTTTCTTTGGTTGCGCAAACCAAAGCCATGTTCCAAGAATATCCGATAGGACCGTCTTGCAGCTTATCTCTATCAGCTTCAGTATACGAGTACCACCTTCTCAATTTTGTCTACGGCGCTGGGCTAGTAACTCTATGTGCCGAGTACGTTCATCGACGGAAAACAACTACTCCAGGAACGGCAACTCAGAAAGATTTTCTACGTGCTGTTTTAATCAGTAGCGTCCCTTGGTTTCTGGGGTTAATCATTGTTTTACCGCTAACAATGGCTGGTGTAGATCTAGGCCTGTGTCAATTGAACTACACGCTAGACAGATTAAGGGCGCAGACAATCGTCTCTACAATTTTACCTGCAGTTATCGCTGTGTGTATATCTTCAGTTTTGGCCTACGGAAATTGTCAACCCGGACACACACAGACAACTGAGCTGAACACAGCACAGAGACCGGCGTTCGGCTACATTGAGACCGCACCCCCAACATATGACCATCAGGCGCCGCCTTACACTCAATCAACCCATGCGCATTATCCTGTACAGAATCAACACCTACCAGCGTACCATCAACCGAGCTATCAACAACAACCCCAGCAGATAAGCTACCAGCCGCAACAGATGTCTAACTACTCATACGAACCCAGCAATGTATTCAGCCCTCAAAAATTTAACGGCTCCCTTGAAAACAACGGCTCCCCATACTACACCGGCTCGCCACAATTCGCCGGCTCCCCACACAACACCGGCTTACCCGCCACCACACACACAGCCGCCACCACCTCCTTCAACGAGAGATATAAAATTCTCACCCTGGCCGTGACCTTCTTCTTCCTCGTCATGCCGCAAGCGGTGTTCTACTTGGCCTACACCATCAGCCATCTTGCTGTCCTACCTGGGGTGACCTACACGGCTTTAACAGACGGCTTCATGTACCTGATGCTGCTCAGGCCTGTAATCACGCCCATCATTACGTCACAATCATCCTACTTAAAATATTGTTAAAATGACGTCATCACCTCACCGAGCAATCATTACCTCACAATCAACCTGCATACAACGTAATTAAATTCATGTCATTAGTAGGAAATCATAAGGTCACAATCAACCTACCTGCAACATAAAACCACGTCAAAACCACAGAAAAGGAACTTAGATAACGAAGAATAGGGTAGCTGTGAGTACATAACACGCTTGTCTAAAATGAACTGACCAAAACAATGTGTGCTGGAGAGGTACGTCTTTGAGTCTCCGGCGGCTATACAGGATTTACTTAAGTCACTTCAAGCTTGATCAGACAAACATCGTGTCAAAATTAGACCCTTGACATCAAACTTGACAACGTGCAGCTAAAGTTTAACAATAAGTTAACCATTTCGCAAATGTTCAACCCGGACACAAAGACGTCACATTCCATCTACTATATGATATTTTTTTCATTTCTCGTACACATAATTTAGGTACACTAATAACATTGTGTCACATCCAGATGACTTTTAACAAACCTCACATACGTACATCACAAAAAATAAATATATGTTACAATGAATTAACTTACAACAGTATTATTTTCTTTAGAATATTAATGTGCATAAATGTATTGCATTCTTCTTCATTAAACGACAGTATTCATGCTCATCATCACTATAATCTTTACTTTGTAAAAAAAATATGAAAACTTTGTGTTTCTTGGTCACGTGATTTATACACACACACATACACACGAACACACACACACACATATATATATATATATATATATATATATATATATATATATATATATATATATATAAATATATATATATATATATATATATATATATATATATATATATATATATATATATATATATATATATATATATATATTTATAGTATTTATGTGGAAATTAACTTTTTTTATACATGGATTATCGACGGAGGCAGACTTGCCACACTCGTATAGGCTAACGACAAATTTAAAAAAAAACGGAGAGACACTGAAGGATGTAGACTGTGTCTAGACCGGGTCAACGTGTTGTAAATAGACCACTCCCACAGGGAAGGATCAACTTGACAGTAAGCAACGCCGCAAAAAAGTAGATCCTGTCTTCATGTTAACAGCTCTCTGTCGTGTATGAACTAATACTAGCTGGCTAACGAGTATCCATAAACCATTGTCTATCATAGCCTAACAAGTTTCAAAAACACTAACCTAACATGTTTCAAAAACCCTCGTCTAACTTGTACCATAAAACTCTAGCCTAACATGTTTCAGAAACCCAAACCTAACATGTTTTATAAACCCTAGCCTAACATATTTCAAAAACCCTAGCCTAAGATGTTTCAAAAACACTAGCCTAACATCTTTCAAAAACCCTTTTCTAACATGTTTCATAAAACCCATGCCTAACTTCTATCAGAAACCCTAGACCAATATGTTTTATAAAACCCTAGCCTAACATGTTTCATAAAACCCTAGCCAATCTATCATACAACCTTGTCTATTTTATACCCTAAAACATCAGCCTATCCTGAAGCCTAAACTCGGAACCTAAACTTTAACTTATACTATAAAACCCAATCCTAACTTGTACGATAAAACCAAATCCTAACTTGTACAATAAAATCCTAGCCTAACTTGTACTACAAAACCAAATCCTAACTTGTACCATAAAACCATAGCCTAACTTGTACCATAAAACCCTAGCCTAACTTGTATAATAAAACCCTAGCCCAACTTGTATAATAAAACCCTAGCGTAATTTGTACCTTAAAAACCTAGCCAAAGTTTTAAAAAGAGGCTTATCTTTTTCAAGATAGCATTGGTTAACCATCATAAAATTTTATCTGGCAACACGGCTATAAATATGCGGTAACAGTACGAACTCGCTCTCAATCTACAGGATAAAGTTACTCCACTCCTGGTGTCAGGTAAGAATTTTGTTTAGTTGTCTCAGGAGCAATGGCGTCGCTAGGTCGGGTGTCACCAGGTGAGGCACCTAATGGTTTCACCGCCCCTCCCCCCACTACCAAAGGGAAAAAATAAAGGGAATATATATATATATATATATATATATATATATATATATATATATATATATATATATATATATATATATATATATATATATATATATATATATATATATATATATAACAGCTCCCTCCGATTTTGTCAAATAGTGTCTATTTGTACACTCATTATATTAATCCAACTATACATTTTGCAGTTAGTGTCATCATCTTCCCCCTCGCCCTGGTATAAGCTTTAAATTGTTCATAGTTAATACTAACAATATTTGTCAATAGTCGGTTGTAATATTTTTCTCTACAGTCTGCATGTCTAGATCATTGTTCCCCCCCCCCCCACTTTCAGAATCGTCAATTTGCACTAATAGTAGTCTACTTTTTAACTCTCATTAACCATTCACTGAACTGGCAAAAAAAAAAACCATTTATTTTTATACATTTTGCTATTTGTTGTCTTGGTGTCACCCCCCCCCCCCCACAAACGGTGTCAACCGGTGCGATTCGTACCCCTGACTCTGTCCTGCGATGCCTCTTCTCTGACGTTTGTTTAATTAACTTTAATCTTGAATGTATCATAAGTAACCTATAGAAATGTTGTCTATTTATATTGTAACCTATTTAGTAGCAAGACTGTAATTTAACGATAGGTGACTTGGAATTTAAAAAAAACCTAAGAGAAAATGTTTTATTGTAACGGTATCTGCCATTACGACACTCATGACTTAGCGGCTTTATTGGTGTAGTAAAATATGTTTAAACTGGAACAAAGGGGACGGGCTATGTCTAGTCGATCCCGGAAATAAAGAGGAAACCCCCCTTCCCCCATCCCATACTTAAAATATCGTTGTATTCTTCTCAATTGAGATATAATTAATTTATTAAAAAAAAATAACAGCTAGTAAAATTTCCCAAATAGACAAAGAATAGTAAGAATGCATTTTGTAAAGCTATAAACATATTTCGAATGGTTCACTGAACAAGTGGCTATCGGATAAGAAATTTCTGTAAGCTGAGCTACATGGTCTAGAAAAGTGTCATTTATTAATTTAAAATTGCATATAATCTTATTCCAGTGGGCCCACCGGTAATTTCCCAGCAGCCACCCATTTTCTCTCTATTTCCCAGCGACTCAGTCCAGCGCTGAACTTGAATTTTCGCATCTTACTTTTTAAAATAACAATGTAATTGTGTTTCAACATCTCCTAGCTTCGCGTGACTTGGGTTTAAGAAACATCTTAGGCTAGGGTTTTGACTAAGAATCATAGGCGTAGCGAGAGGGGGGGGGGCGGACTGCACCGGGTGACACCATTTAGGGGGTGACACCAAGGCAAAAAATAGCAAAATATATAGACAAAAATTTTAGGGGTGGTGGGGGGCTTGCAAATCGAAACATTGAGGGGGGGGGTACAAATCGAAAATTTAAAAGTTTGTCCCAGGGAAGGGTCGCTACGCCTATGGGGGTGGTGACACCATTACGTGCCGCACCGGGTGACACCCGACCTCGCTACGTCACTGCTAAGAATATAAGAAGTTTTTTTTTTTTAAGTAAGTGAAAGCAATTAGCGAATACTGATGTAATCTCCAGTCGTTTTTTTGTGAGCTTTAAATGTAAAAATAAATTATGATAATCTTTTCGTTAACAAGCCAGTTATATTTAACAAAGAGCTAGATGTCAAAACTATTACCTGGTGAACAGCAGGTAGAGAAAACTTTAAAAATAAGGTTTTAATCGTGTCACCATAACCTTTCACGAGACTTACATTCTTTTTTTTTACACAGTTAGAAAAACAGTACGACACGTTTTACATTTAACTCTACACTAAACTAAAGATGTCGGGGTATTCGGAATCCGTTGATGTTGAAGCAGTGCAGTATGCTACGAAAGCACTTCTTATCAGCTTCATTATTGTCATTACCATCTCAAACGGTGCTCTCGTCATCAAAATCATGAGACGAAAACATTTTCTGTACAGCCCAAAACACCTGCTGCTGATATCACTGGCTGTAGGGGACATTTTCTTGGCGCTGTTCGCCTTGGTCATACAGGCCAAACTAATGTTTCAGATGCATGAGTTAGGATTAGAGGAATGCCGGAAAGGGATTTACTCTAATGTGTACGCAAATTATCTTCCAAATTTTGTGTATGGATTCGGTCTCGTTGTTCTATCAGTTGAATTTGTGTATCGTCGGAGATCAAAGAGACGAAGAACAACAGGTAATTACGAATTGCTTCGAAGTTTTCTGATCAGTAGCCTGCCTTGGTTTCATGGATTGTATCTTATCGTCCTACCACAGACCTTCGCAGGCGTGGATCTGAATACGTGTAGACTTAGCTTTACACTTGAAAGAACAAGTGGACAGATTGTTGTGTCCATGGTACTCCCTGCTTGTCTGGCACTGATAACGGCTGTTGTTGTCGTCTGCTTCAAGATAGACCGTGGTTATGTCCAGCACCTAGAGATGACGTCAGGTGACCGAACGTTTGCCAGTGGTCAAGATACTGAAGATATTATAGCACAACACAGACAACCAGATGCGATGAACGTGCCTGCATATAATGCTGATCCACCTTACTATCAATCACAGAGTTCACCTTATTACTCACCACAGATCACACTTTATCCAACACAGAACCCGCCTTACTATCCACCACAGGATGCTCCTAATTATCCACCACATAATCCATATTATCCACTACACGATTATGTCAACAACAGTTCAAACGTCAACAACCTGACAGTTGTGGTAAACGACAACATCCCAACGATACCATCGACCAACGCTATCTACCCAGAACAAAACAAGATTCTCTCTCTAGCGCTGATCTTCTTTATTCTAGTGACGCCGTTAGCCGTTTATTACCTGGTAGCTTTAAACACCGATCTGACGTCATCAGCACTGACCAACATTGTGCTTGAGCAGGGCTTGATGTGGCTCATGCTGCTTAGGCCTTTCGTCACTGCCGTCGTCACCTCACAATCAGCCTACATAGAACAGCTTTAATTGTCAAGCTGCCCATAACAAACAGTAAATATAACACCTTTGCAACTGGAAGTGTAAGTTAAATTACACTGTTCCACTTAAATGCAAGAAAATACTATTATCTTGATTAAAAAATAGCCTAGAATTACTAACATACTCACAAACACACACATATATATCTATAGGGTCTGCATGGTCGAGTCAGTAAAGCTCATGTATGTTAAAACGAAAAGTCTCGAGTCCGAACCCCTGGGCACATTAGGATCAATTGGTGGGGACAGCATCTCTTCTATGAAAGACAACTCCAAAATCAAACAACTGCTGCATTTGTTCTTGGTTGGACAAAGGCTATGGAAGTAAATCCAAAAATAAAAGCAGGCTGGAATCGATATCAACGGCCTATATGGCGCATAACAAACTGACACATAATACTTAATTGTGTTGAAGGGAATCACTTTTTAGCAATTATACTTAAGAACGAAGAAGAAGAAAGCAGACACACACACGCATATATATATATATATATATATATATATATATATATATATATATATATATATATATATATATATATATATATATATATATATATACACACATATATAATAAAGATTGAAGATATCTTCCCGTCATACTAAGATGTATAACTTCTTCTAGGCATATGTTGATGTTTGTCCTAATCTTAGCATATCGTCTAGCATTATTTTGTAAGGGCATATTTTAATTTATGATATCATCAGGGTATATACTGATGTGAGGATAATGTGATGTACGATGTCTTCTCGACATATTTTGATGTGTAATGCCGTGTCGGCATAATGTGTGTCATTGTCTATACATATTTATTAAATTTATGTCATCGTACTGTGCTCAACTACTATAGGAGAAGATCCTACTTTAAACTGAGAATGATGAGCAATTGCTTTCCGAACGCTTCGTGTTTTTTCAAATACTACTCTTGTTGTTTAATCTTCACTTATTTTAAAATTTTGGAAGTTATTTGCTGATTACGGTTTGTCGCGTTTAAGACATAAAATGGTACTTGGGCGCAAAGCAGGTATAACGAAATACATCGCCAAGCTGTCATTCATTCAAGTATGATTATAAATAAGTAAAGAATTTACAATATAGTCTTCGCCTATATATAAAAGTGCACTTACAACGTTACGGTCCATGTAGTAGGTGAAGTAGAGTTCACCTGTTTCAATGACATTAGTAAATGGAGAAAGAGCGATGCTGGAATAATGGGATCATGTTGCTGGGTACAATATAACGAATTTAGCTTTGAAACAGCATTGTAAAATATTAGGAGAACATAAAAAATAAATGGACAACAGGGAGGCGGTGGACCACTATCCTGGATATCATCAAATAAAGGTCTTCACAGTGACTTTGACAATAATAACACTGAGCATAGACCTACACCTCGTAATGAATACTGTTAGGTTGAATACTGACAAAATTACCCTATGCAGTGCTATTGAATACCCACATTAGTGGCATTATACTTGCATTTAGTATCGACGGCAGTGTTATTGAGTACCCACATCTTCAGCACTGAGTACCAACATCAGTGACACTGAGCAACCACAGTTTGAGCACTAAACACGCACAGCAGTGATACTGAGTACCCACATCAACGTTATCGATTACCAACAGCTCCAGGGCTGAGTACCCACTGCAGTGACATATATATATATATATATATATATATATATATATATATATATATATATATATATATATATATATATATATATATATATATATATATATATATGAATATATTTACAATGGTCACAGCAAAATGTAGTACAGTTGTTAAAATCCATTGAACTATTTTTTTTTATATACAAATGATATATTTTGTACCTGACCCTAGTTTTATCTTACACAATCGTATATTATTTGATGGCATCACGATAATTACATTCTTAACGTTAATCTCTAATTTTAAAACAACAACAAGATTCACGTTAGGTTGTCAAAAATAACATTTTATTGCAATTTGAATGATTGCCATTTCGAGAAACTATTAAAGAGCAAATGTGCGTGTTATGAGTTATATTGTAATACCCACGCTCAAATATATACATATTAATATATATATATATATATATATATATATATATATATATATATATAATATAAAAAGTTATTCAAGAAAACATAATTATAAAGCAATCACAAATTTGAATTTAAAGTTAATATTATACAAACAAATTATCAAACACTTGTTTAAAAATTATCAAGTATAGACAAACTTAGAAAGAATATTTACAAAAGTTATTTATGAACTTAATTTTTAATGCTACCCTTAACACAGTCTTGTTCCTTTCCTTCTTTAAATAAAAAAAAATCTTAAGGCACGTTAAAATTGCCAATTTTTAAATGTACATGAAATAATCTATACATTGATATAGCAGCCTAGTGCACTTTTTGAGAGAGAAAACACCCAGGATTCTCACCATGTTTGTATAAGTATAGATTAGATCAATGAATTAATCAATGTATTATTGGTATACAATAGTAACTTAAGAGAGACAAATTAAGAGACAGAGTTTTCTAGGGTTTCTAAACTATTTAAATTCAATTGAATACACTATAATAACATAATTTAAATATCATATGACATTACCCTGTTCAGATATAACCATTGTACATTTTATTTCTAATTCAGAGTTCAAGTAAATTTCTGCAGCCAAGCCTATGCTTAGAAAAGTATTCCTGTAAAGAGACCAAATATTATAAATTGTATCCTAACCTCTGAAACAAACTATATGAACTAAAAGCAATTACATTAACACACACTTGCCACCACCCCTCACTCATTCTCCCCACTCACCCCCACCCATACTTCTTATACCCATATAGAGATTTTAAAATTGTTTAACAAACAACCAACCTAATGAGAAAATTGTGATGGTTTATTTGTTTCCATCATTATTCTTTAGCAGTTCTTTTACTTCCTTCAAAAGATCATGCTTAAATTGGATCATCCAATCTTGCATAGATTTTTGAAATTCATTGTTTAGTTTTCGCTCTTGAATCAACATTTCCTTCAATGCCTCCAAAGTATTTGAGCAGTTGGCCAGACTGCCAAGATTGTCTCTACAAAGTGGCAGATCACTTGGGGAGGAAGAATATAGTTTAAATGCAATTAATGTTTACGAGAGATCATCAAAATAAGATGGCCAGACAAAATATCAAATAATGACCTGTGGCAAAACACACAACATTAACCTATAAATAAGGACATCAAAACCAAAATGTAATTGCAGCCTTTGCTCCCAAGGGGCCACAAAGGATAAATAAATGATAATTTACGACTACTAAAAATGTATGGTAATAAAACAGAAAAATATGAAAGTATTAATTGTATACTTACAGTTTTAACACGCCTTTAACTGTTGTCATTTTTCCCGCTGTATTTGCCTCACAAGAAAGTATAAAACAGCCTGCGGTATTTTAATAAATTTAAATTAAATGGTAGTTAAAAATGAACCAAATGTCCTAAAAGGTTATTTTACACCAGTTTTTACTATATATATATATATATATATATATATATATATATATATATATATATATAACTTACTAAAAATTAAAGCCATGAAAAGGAAAGATGCTCTGTATCTTTTAACGGGTAGGGCTGCTTGAACCTAAAAAATTGCAAACAGATGTATCTTATAATAGACGCTTAGTTAAGTATGGACAATGTACGCTAATCTAGTCAGGCTTAAACAACAGACACCAACCTTGGTAGGTTTAGCTGAACCTGGTCCCTTCGTGTCAAACCTGGTCCTGACCGGGTCAGTGAGGTCCCCGACACAGCCCTCCGTGTAGCGGGTCTTGGTGGTGTCTGTCACCATCAGTCTAGACACCACACCGGCCTCTGTGGGGGAAACGTGTGGGGGATGTTAAACCAAGTTGCTAAAGTGTATGGGATGTTAAACCTATGTGTGGTTAGGTGTAAAAGAGTATGGGATGTTAAACCTAGGTGTGATTAGGTGTTAAAGTGTATGGGATGTTAAACCTAGGTAAGGTTAGGTGTTTGTGTATGGGATGTTAAACCTAAGCGTGGTTAGGTGTTAAAGTGTATGGGATGTTAAACCTAGGTAAGGTTAGGTGTTAAAGTGTATGGGATGTTAAACCTAGGTGTGATTAAGTGTTAAAGAAAAGTGTATGGGATGTTAAACCTAGGTAAGGTTAGGTGTTAAAGTGTATGGGATGTTAAACCTAGGTGTGGTTAGGTGTTAACTTGTATTGGATGTAAAACCTAGGTAAGGTTAGGTGTTAATGTGTATGGGATGTTAAACCTAGGTAAGGTTAGGTGAGAAAGTGTATGGGATGTTAAACCTAGGTGTGGTTAATTTTTTAGTGTATGGGATGTTAAACTTACGAATGGTTAGGTGTTAGAAAAAAGTGTATGTGATATTTAACCTAGGCGTGGTCAGGTGCTTAAGTGGACAGGATGTTAAACCTAGGTGTGGTTTGGTGTTTGTGTGTATCAGATGTTAAACCTAGGTGTTGTTAGTTGTTAGAGAAAAGTGTATGGTATATTAAACCTAGGTATGAATTGGATGTTAAACATAGGTGTGGTTATGTGTTAAAGTGTATTGGATGTTAAACCTATTTAAGTTTAGGTGTTAACTTGTATCGGATGTTAAACCTAGGTGTGGTTAGGTGTTAGAGTGTATGGGATGTTAAACGTAGGTATGATTAGTTGGGGATTAGTTGATAAAGAAAAGTGTATTTGATGTTAAACCTAGGTGTGGTTAGGTCTTAGAATGTATGGGACGTTAAACCTAGGTGTGGTTAGGTCTTAGAATGTATGGGATGTTAAACCTAGGTGTGGTTAGGTGTTAGAATGTATGGGATGTTAAACCTAGGTGTGGTTAGGTCTTAGAATGTATGGGATGTTAAACCTAGGTGTGGTTAGGTGTTAGAATGTATGGGATGTTAAACCTAGATAAGGTTAGGTGTTAGAAAAAAAGTGTATGTGATGTTAAACCTATTTTTGGTTAGGTGTCAAAAAGTGTGTGGTATGTTAAACCTAGGTGTGGTTAGGTGTTTGCTATTGTTAGCTGTATTTAATAAACAGTCAGCTGTCGTTGGTAACAGTTTAACTTGTACTCTATCTTTCGTTGACACGATCTCCTTTAACCCATTATGACCAAAGTTAAGAGAAAACTGAAATTTTTGAACATCTCTGATGAAAAAAAAACAACTATTTTTAACTAACCAATCAACGAGTAGCAGGTGACGATGGCGTCATTGCACCGACCAATGACGTCCATGACAGACTGCCGGACGAAGCCGGTGGTGCTGAGGACTTTGAGCTTCCAGTGGGGCTCGTGGATGTCTTCACAGTGATAGGAGAGCATCTGGATCATGGAGGGCTGCAGGCTGGCGATGGTGCACTTCTCTTTCTCTATCAGGTCCCAGGTCTGAACGTGCCAGGAGAAAGGACGGATGGGATTAGTGGTAGGTAATCTAACGAATGGTTTATTTTATTTTATTTGGGTAACACATTCAGAGACGTAATCCTAATCCCAGTTTGTATCCAATCGAAGTAAACAACTGGAACAATTTAAAATCATTAGACTTACCCATGTGACTCACACAACGACCATACCTCCCTGACCCACATAACGTCCATACCTGACCCAAACAACGACCATACCTGACCCACACAACGACCATACCTGACCCACACAACGACCATACCTCCCTGACCCACATAACGTCCATACCTGACCCACAAAACGACCATGCCTGACCCATACAATGATCATACCTCTCTGACCCATACAACGACCAAATCTGACCCACAGAACGACCGTATCTAACCCATACAACAATCATATCTGACCAACACAACGACATAACCTGACCCATACAACGACCAAATATGACCCATTTAAACAAAATACCTCTATGAACACCACAACAACTTTACCTCACTAAACCAACATAACGACAAAAGCTCACTGACCCACACAACGTACATACATCAATGGCCCACACATAAACATACCTCTCTGACCCACACAACGACCATATCTGACTCACACAACGACCTTCTCCATACAACGACCATACCTCTGCGACTCACAAAACGATCATACCTGTCTGACGAACCTTACGACCATACTTGACTTACACAACGACAATACCTCCTAGACCCACACAACGACAATGCCCCAGTGAACCAAACAACGACCATACCTCGCAGGCCCACACAATGCCCATAACTCCTGTACCCACACAACGACCATAACTCCTGACCCACACAACGACCATACCTGACCCACACAACGACCATAACTCCTGACCCACACAACGACCATACCTGACTCACACAACGACCATACCTCCCTGACCCACACAACGACCATACCTGACCCACACAACGACCATAACTCCTGACCCACACAACGACCATACCTGACCCACACAACGACCATACCTGACCCACACAACGACCAAACCTGACCCACACAACGACTATACCTCCCTGACCCACACAACGACCATACCTGACTCACACAACGACCATACCTCCCTGACCCACACAACGACCATACCTGACTCACACAACGATCATACCTCCCTGACCCACACAACGACCAAACCTGACCCACACAACGACCATACCTCCCTGACCCACACAACGACCATACCTCCCTGACCCACACAACGACCATACCTGACTCACACAACGACCATACCTCCCTGACCCACACAACGACCATACCTCCCTGACCCACACAACGACCATACCTGACCCACACAACGACCAAACCTGACCCACACAACGACCATACCTCCCTGACCCACACAACGACCATACCTGACTCACACAACGACCATACCTCCCTGACCCACACAACGACCATACCTGAATCACACAACGACCATACCTCCCTGACCCACACAACGACCAAACCTGACCCACACAACGACCATACCTCCCTGACCCACACAACGACCATACCTGACTCACACAACGACCAAACCTGACCCACACAACGACCATACCTCCCTGACCCACACAACGACCATACCTGACTCACACAACGACCATACCTCCCTGACCCACACAACGACCATACCTGACTCACACAACGACCATACCTCCCTGACCCTCACAACGACCATACCTGATCCACACAACGACCAAACCTGACCCACACAACGACCATACCTCCCTGACCCACACAACGACCATACCTGACTCACACAACGACCATACCTCCCTGACCCACACAACGACCATACCTGACTCACACAACGACCATACCTGACTCACACAACGACCATACCTCCCTGACCCACACAACGACCATACCTGACTCACACAACGACCATACCTCCCTGACCCACATAACGACCATACCTGACCCACATAACGACCATACCTGACTCACACAACGACCATACCTCCCTGACCCACATAACGACCATACCTGACTCACACAACGACCATACCTGACTCACACAACGACCATACCTGACCACACAACGACCATACCTGACCCACACAACGACCATACCTGACCCACACAACGACCATACCTGACTCACACAACGACCATACCTCCCTGACCCACATAACGACCATACCTGACCACACAACGATCATACCTCCCTGACCCACACAACGACCATACCTGACCACACAACGATCATACCTCCCTGACCCACACAACGACCATACCTGACCACACAACGACCATACCTGACCCACACAACGACCATACCTGACTCACACAACGACCATACCTCCCTGACCCACATAACGACCATACCTGACCACAAAACGATCATACCTCCCTGACCCACACAACGACCATACCTGACCACACAACGATCATACCTCCCTGACCCACACAACGACCATACCTGACCACACAACGATCATACCTCCCTGACCCACACAACGACCATACCTGACCACACAACGACCATACCTGACCCACACAACGACCATACCTGACTCACACAACGACCATACCTCCCTGACCCACATAACGACCATACCTGACCACACAACGACCATACCTGACCACACAACGACCATACCTGACTCACACAACGACCATACCTCCCTGACCCACATAACGACCATACCTGACCACACAACGACCATACCTGACTCACACAACGACCATACCTCCCTGACCCACTTAACGACCATACCTGACCACACAACGATCATACCTCCCTGACCCACACAACGACCATACCTGACCACACAACGACCATACCTGACTCACACAACGACCATACCTCCCTGACCCACATAACGACCATACCTGACCACACAACGACCATACCTGACTCACACAACGACCATACCTCCCTGACCCACATAACGACCATACCTGACCACACAACGATCATACCTCCCTGACCCACACAACGACCATACCTGACCACACAACGACCATACCTGACCACACAACGATCATACCTGACTCACACAACGACCATACCTCCCTGACCCACACAACGACCATACCTGACCACACAACGACCATACCTGACTCACACAACGACCATACGCCCTGACCCACATAACGACCATACCTGACCACACAACGATCATACCTCCCTGACCCACACAACGACCATACCTGACCACACAACGACCATACCTGACCACACAACGATCATACCTGACCACACAACGATCATACCTGACTCACACAACGACCATACCTCACTGACCCACACAATGACCATACCTCCCTGACGACCATCTCCGCCGGACAGTCTGTCAGAGTGGACTTGACCATCGTACATCCGGTGCTGACAGGCCAGTCGTTGTAAACTACGTCATCACGTATGATGTTAAACATGTCCTCGACCCGGTGAGCGATCTGACACAGCTGGGAGTGGTTACGTAACACCAGTTTGTAGTGCTCTGGGGAGATACATGGATCAAATGTTCTGGGGAGATACATGGATCAAATGTTCTGGGGAGATACATGTATCAAATATTCTGGGGAGATACATGGATCAAATAATCTGGGAAGATACATGGATCAAATGTTCTGGGGAGATACATGGATCAAATGTTCTGGGGAGATACATGGATCAAATGTTCTGGGGAGATACATGGATCAAATGTTCTGGGGAGATACATGGATCAAATGTTCTGGGGAGATACATGGATCAAATATTCTGGGCAGGTAAAAGTAGACAGTTTCTGGGGAGATACAAGTAGAAATGCTTTGTAACGCTGCATCGGTGAAATTTCGACTGAGTGATAGCTTCGGAAGACATGTTTTCTAGATTTGGTTTAGAAACTATATTGTTTGGGGCGGCGTGGTCAAGAGGACGCCTGTATGGCGTACTTGTGTTCACCCAGCTCTAAAGGGTGCCTGACTCACGTTAAGGAAAGTCAAGGCGGGTGGGCATAGAACTGACCACACTATCCTCTTTTATATGCCCGAGGTCACAGGAAAAGATTATATTGAACGTGTTTGTTCTTTTGACCGTAAAGGGTCACTCTATTTAATACTCAACCACATTAAATATCACTTGACTTATTTTTCAAGTTTAAAATGTGATAAAAACGTCATTAAAAAAAAACTCTCACAAAGACCGCTGGCACATAATCAATCAAAAGCTAAATATTAATTTTTCATTAAATTTAAGAAAAAAAAATCAGTGTACTCTCTATAGGACATTTGGCGACAAAGATGGCGGCTGGGTCATGTGAACAGAGAAGGTCAATAAACATCCCGCCATGTTCTTTAATCAGCTCAAAGGCAGTCTTCACATTCTCATTCTATAAAATACGATTTTTTTTACCTGTTATTGAGCATGTGATGATATATTGTTTTATATTGTATTTTTATACAACATTTAAAGCGTTTTCAAAACGCGTGTCTTATTCAAAGATTAAATAGGCGGGTCTAATTTTAGAAAAAAAAATATGCCTTTATTCTGATGTATATACATCATACATGTATAAATGTATGTATAAATGAATGCCTACCATCTTCCATCCAGGCAAATCATCTGTGGGCTCCACAACAATATGGCGGACACCGGGCTGGTAAATGGGGGTCCAGAAATTGTGACCCATGTCATTGATGATGTGACCATGCATCACTTCAGCACCTGTAGAGGGGGGGATGTCACATTCACATTCTCAACTTCGGTACAATCCCAAATTCACACGTGAATGGAGGCATGATACAGATTGGCAGGATTTCTCAAACATTCTGAGATAACTCAGTCGTAATAATTACCTGACTCACTAAGATTGACAACAAAAGTTGTACTAAAACAAATACCTTGCCGCAGGGAGGGGGAGAGACTGGTGGCAATAAGATACTGACCTCGTTCTAGTAAACTCTCCCAGATAAACGTCAGCTTGTAGGGGGGAGGGAGTGAGGGAGGGGGGCAGAGGCTGGTGGCAATAAGATACTGACCTCGTTCTAGTAAACTCTCCCAGATAAACGTCAGCTTGTAGGGGGGAGGGAGTGAGGGAGGGGGGCAGAGGCTGGTGGCAATAAGATACTGACCTCGTTCTAGTAAACTCTCCCAGATAAACCTCAGCTTGCCGTTGACCGTTCTGTAGTTGAGCTCAGGCCGGGGGTCAATGATGGGCTGGGTTAAAGCGTCGGAGTGACACAGCATCTGGGGGGGGGGGGGGGGGAGGGGGTGATAGAGATTAGTGTACACAACTAAGTCAATGGCAGATATGTGTGCATACAATTAGGGGAATCAAAGCAATACGTGTACAAAATTACGGAATCCCTGAAATTACAAAATTAGGGGAATCACTAACATTTGTATACAAAATAATATATATATATATCTGCCCCTAATAGCCGTCACCAAACCCGTCTCTGTGATTGTAAAATGTACACAGAGTGAACACCGCTCACCATATCATGTGGGGGTGGGGTGGGGGTGGTAGTGATAGTGATAGAGAGGAAGAGAGGGGACTGCAAAGGCGCGCTTGCAGCTTGTTTTCTAACTGATCCCAGAAGAGAATTATATATATAGATAAATATAATAATATATATGATGTGAGGTAAAATTTTTGTTTAGTTGGCTCAGAAGCAATGGCGTCGCTAGATCGAGTTTCACCCTGTGTTGCGCCTTGTGGTTTAAATCCTCCCCCTAAACTACCAACGGAAAAAGTTTTAGGCGACATTTATATATTTTTACACACACACACATATATACATATATATATATATATATATATATATATATATATATATATATATATATATATATATATATATATATATATATATATATATATATATATATATAGATATAGATATATATAGATATATATAGATATATATATATAGGCCTATATATACAAAGGGGATGGGCTATGGCTAGGCGATCCGGAAATAATAAAGAAATCCCTCTCCCCCATTATATATATATATATATATATATATATATATATATATATATATATATATATATATATATGATTATTTGTATATATATATATATATATATATATATATATATATATATATATATATATATATATATATATGTGTGTGTGTGTGTGTGTACAACGTGACATGACTGTATGTAAATATATACTTGTACATCGTGATATGGTTATCTGTGTATGTAGTCTATATATTTTATTTGATATAGACGTCTAGTTTATGTTGCGATCAAGTTTCTTTAAAATAAGACATACCACTTTTTACGAAGTTTGGTTTTTATTATCGAGAACAAGATCTAGAACTAGATTCTAGATCTTTAATGTACTTTTTTGCAAACAGTTTTTTTTTTAAATTTCAACAGGAAGTTGAAATCTGAGTTTACAACATGGCGGGTGATTTCCGGAAACTTGGAAAAGTTAATAGTATGACGTCATTGAAATATGATTGTGTGGAGAATGTTAATTTTTTTTTATAGCCGACACCTTATTTTTGTGTGTGAACAACTTCATATGCAAAAGAATAGAACATTCTTGGTAAAAATAGTTCTTTTAAACGACGAACAAATAATCATGATTATCTTAAAGGATTATTTCTTTTTTAATCTAAAAATTATGACTAAAATGTATAGTTATACTAACTAGACTCTAACGAGCCTCATCTGCCCGAGGGTTCGAACTCGAAACCGTGACCTTTACCGACTTGACCACGCCCACCCCACATTGAGGATCAAATGGACAATTTCAAAGATGCCGAGCATAGAATAACTTTTTATTTATAATTGTATCCGTTTCGTTTTAAACTAACTGTTTTGCAATGTTGTTCGCTATTCAATTCCCCAAAACTTTTTGAACTTCTCAATTTGAATTGTTGGAACAGTCACACTATTCGAGTATGCGGTTACATTCACTAATACTTCAGCTTGTCTATACAAGGGTATATCAACTAAAATAGATTACAATATTGCGTACAAGCAATACATCTATGTTTCTTACCAGTTCCTCTAGAGAATACAATTAGTAATTTATATATTCAATTTTAAGTAAATCGCACATCATCATTTCCCGTTCGTAATTAAATTTTTTTTTAAATATTGGAGAAAGATTGGGTTTATTTTTCTATACCCTAAAGAACGATCAAAACCTTTTTGTCATTACGTATTTATTCCAGCAAAAATTACGTGTACCTAAAACATTTACCCTTCACGTAATATATTTCAAAAGAAAGAAGTTAAAGAACAAAAATGTTTGTTGCTCAATCTAATTTCCATTAGGGTAAACCCGTGTTCGCATGTTTGAATTAGAGTAGATTAAATGTTAAATGTTAGCAGTAGCGTAAGTGGGCAGATTAGTTAGTTGGTAACATATTGGGATAAGATAAGGATTAACATACAATAAAAATAAAAACATCTATCCTATATATGTACATTATTAATTATTAATTACTAAATACAACAACTTGCACTAGTAGATTATTTAGTATGAAATTAAACAAAACGCACCGTAGCGTTTATATCAGTTATACACGCAATATATTTCAAAAGAAACAAGTTAAAGTGGGTAGATTAGTTAGTTGGTAACATATTGGGATAAGATAAGGTTTAACATACAATTTAAAAAAAAACCATCTATCCTATAGATCTATATCTATATTATGAATTACAAATTACAACGACTTACGCCAGTAGATTATTTAGTGTGAAATTAAAGAAAAACTCACCGTAGCGTGTATATCAGTTATACACGAAAACTAGACCTTTTACTCAGCCTGTCTGATCTCCTTACCGTGCGTTGCTTTCTATTATTACCAAATGTTCAGTTGAAGGACATATAACTATTATCACGTTATCTTAAGACTCGGCTCTCAATCTATTCCGCACTATTAGACACACTTCATCACGTTCAATAGGTACGCAATAGTTTTTAGTAATGCAACTCTGGTGTCAATAAAACATGTAAAGTACAAAAAAAAATAATAAAAAACGTTTAAATAACAAGCTTTTATGTAATAATGCACTAAAAAGTAGAAAATAAATAATATTATACACTACTAAATGTTTGGGGTTCGGGAGATTTAACCCTTAGAATAAAAATCCGGATCTTCAACACACTCGTAAAACCTGTTTTACTCTATGGAGCTGAGACATGGAGAATAACTGCTATAAATAAGAAGAAAATACAATCATTTATAAACGCATGTCTCAGAAAGATCCTGCGAATTCGCTGGCCTAAAACCATCAGAAATGATGTTCTATGGCAACGGACAAATCAACTGCCAGTGGAAGTAGAGATCCTCCAGAGAAAATGGAAATGGATTGGCCACACACTCAGGAAGCCTGTATCCAGCATAACAAGACAGGCCCTCACCTGGAATCCACAAGGCAGGAGGAAGAGAGGCAGACCAAGAAAGACCTGGAGACGTGACCTGGAAGAAGACACCAAGAAGATTGGATACACCTGGGGACAGTTGGAGAGACTAGCCCTGGACAGAGACGTCTGGAAAGCTCTTGTCAGCGGCCTATGTCCCAGTAGGGACGGCAGGCAAACATGATGACTATTTTAATTACTACGAGCCGACCCGCTGCGTATCATACGCCGCTATTTAGTTTTTTTTTTTTCTACTTTTCAGTAATTTATAATTTGTGAATTCGACAGTACCAATGCTGCCATTGAAAACATTTGCTTAAAAAAACTAACCTCCCCCCCCCCCCCCCACGTGAAAGCAGCCTCCTCTTAGTTACCTCCTCTAAGTTTAAAATCGTTTCAAACTAAATTATCTGCCCCTAATAGCCGTCACCAAACCCGTCTCTGTGATTGTAAAATGTACACGCAGTGAACACCGCTCACCAGATCATGTGGGGGTGGGGTGGGGGTGGTAGTGATAGTGATAGAGAGGAAGAGAGGGGACTGCAAAGGCGCGCTTGCAGCTTGTTTTCTAACTGATCCCAGAAGAGAATTATATATATAGATAAATATAATAATATATATGATGTGAGGTAAAATTTTTGTTTAGTTGGCTCAGAAGCAATGGCGTCGCTAGATCGAGTTTCACCCTGTGTTGCGCCTTGTGGTTTAAATCCTCCCCCTAAACTACCAACGGAAAAAGTTTTAGGCGACATTTATATATTTTTACACACACACACATATATACATATTATATATATATATATATATATATATATATATATATATATATATATATATATATATATATATATATATATATATAGATATATATAGATATATATATATATAGGCCTATATATACAAAGGGGATGGGCTATGGCTAGGCGATCCGGAAATAATAAAGAAATCCCTCTCCCCCATTATATATATATATATATATATATATATATGATTATTTGTATATATATATATATATATATATATATATATATATATATATATATATATATATATATATATATATATATATGTGTGTGTGTGTGTGTGTGTGTACAACGTGACATGACTGTATGTAAATATATACTTGTACATCGTGATATGGTTATCTGTGTATGTAGTCTATATATTTTATTTGATATAGACGTCTAGTTTATGTTGCGATCAAGTTTCTTTAAAATAAGACATACCACTTTTTACGAAGTTTGGTTTTTATTATCGAGAACAAGATCTAGAACTAGATTCTAGATCTTTAATGTACTTTTTTGCAAACAGTTTTT